GTGGTAGTGCTTGTTGTTGTAGAGGTGGTTGTGCTGGTTGTTGTAGAGGTGGTTGTGCTGGCTGTTGTAGAGGTGGTTGAGCTGGTAGTTGTGCTTGTTGTGGTAGAGGTGGTTGAGCTGGTTGTTGTAGAGATGGTTGAGCTTGTAGTTGTGCTTGTTGTTGAAGAGGTGGTTGAATTTGCGGTGGTGCTTGTGGTTGTAGAAATGGTTGAACTTGTGGTGGTACTTGTGGTTGTAGAGGTAGTTGAACTTGTAGTTATGACAGTAGTTGAAGAGATAGTTGAACTTGCAATTGTAGAAAGTGTAGTAGAATTACTAAATTATATAGAAACTTGGATAAATTTTTAGCTAGAGAATAGTATATCTTACGTTAAATTGTTGATCGTAGTGGACGGGCCTAAATCATATGAAATGTAAAATATGTTTGTATCCTATATCGGCTATAGTTTCTATGCATAGTTTATGTAAGTAGAAAATTTGGATACTAAAGCCAATTAGTAATAATTGTAGCTAACTCCAAATAGACAAATCGATCGATTTTCATCGATTAAAGGAGATCATCATTTCGAAGGCTATAAGCTATATATTTTAATGTTTATCAACGTTAGAAAAATAGTTCATTTTATAGAAAGCATATAATGAAACCGATAGTAGTGGTAATATCAATATGCAACTCTGGTCGGATCATAAAATAATGACTAATTTCGAAATTTACATTAGATATTTAATAAATCTAAATGAAACTGTGAGTATTTTACTCTAAAGATTAACAGAGAACTTGTACAAATTCATTCGACAAAAAAAAATTAATACTTGAAAAAATTCATTTTCATAGGTCAAAATCTATCTTTGATTTCTGATAAGATTGGGACGAATCTAAGTAAGCATGCGTGAAAAGAATTCGGGAAAGAATATAGGCGATTCATAAACATAATATTTACACTTACATTTATTCTTAAAATAGTAAAATTCTACTCTAGTTTTCTTTATTCAAAATTAAACTTCTTATCCATACTATGCTTACTGTTGGTTGAAAGAGTTGTTGTTATTGTTATTGCTGATTGATTGATAAATAGAAAAGAAGAATCTAAGTTAGATTCAATTAAAATTGAGTTATTATTAAAGATAAATAGTTGACATGTGTTATTTATTTGAAAATAATTTGCAGCAATAATTAATCCATTCAATTTTACCATTTGACATATACATTGTTCTTCTGTTATATGTATTAAAGTATTACTTGTATTACCAATCACAAAATAATCATCTATTTTACCGAGTCTAACAGATTCACCAACAAAAAATAACGACAAGATAACTAGTATCCAAAACATGTTTTAAGTTGTTTACACCATTGTAGACTTTCTCTACATTTGTATAAACAACTTGTGTTAGTCGTTTTTTTTTTCTTTAATTTTCTAAGATTCTGCCTCGAACTCCAATTCAATATTTCATCATCTGTAAATTAAAACACCATACATTTTTTATGAAGTGTTTTTCCCAGAAAAAAATGCTTATGACTATACTAGACAATAACAATATATATAATTACATTGAAACAGTTACTATGGAAGCAAAATACGAAATAGATGCTACAACATTCTAATAATGTTCGTACGGATAGCGGAGTGTATATTTCTACTCCTAACACTTCAATACAGTTTTTAGTTTATGTTTTACAGGCGATCTGTTGTTAATAATTAAGGCAATACGATTATAGTTCTTTTTTTCCAACACTTCTTTTAATGGATAGAATATTTTTTTTAAATATTTCGCAAATATAAATGTTGAGAATACCAATAAATATAATTACTCACTATGTATCATTTTATGATGAAAATAAAGCAAAATTTATATATAACAATAAGATTTCTTTTCTATTATCTATATGATACCAGATTGTCTTTTTTTAAACAATGAATAAAAAACTCATTAGATAAAAATGAATTAGAAAGTCATGGGTTTTTAAAGTCCACTTCAGTATATTTGTTTAATTATTTTTTTTTACTTTTTTAATGCTTCATACATCATAGAGATGACGTATTTCTTTTTTTTGTTTTTCTTCTACTTTCTAATTAAAATTTATTATATTAGTAAACAGAATAAAAACTAAACATATTTGACTGAAGTATTTTATGTTGATTGTTATTATGTGTTGTATATGTAACTAAACATTTGTTTATATCTAAAAGTCTTTTGTTATAATAAAAAAAAATTGTTTATAATCATTTTATGACTACAGAAAATATTTACATAATAATTGAGTATTATCGATCAAATTGACTTGTACAAAAAAAATTCTGTTAATGAAAAAAATATATATGCTAAAACTCACTACAAATGATTGTTAATTATGAATAACATCAAACGATGTTAAACTAAAGTATACTGTATTTGCAATAATATTGCTAGATGTTTAACTGTTCGTTGGCTATTTATATTTAATTTTATCTTTATTCTCAATGAATGGTAATTTTGTATTACTTTCATACAATGGAAGCACATGTGCTCTAATATCTACACCAGAATAATCATATCATTGTTTTCGTGCAGTAATATCTAGAACAAAACATACTGAAACAACAATGAAAACGAATGTTGAGTTGCTGATAATCGATATTTGCTTTTGTATAGGAAACTATACTAACAGTCCTCTCACTAGTTGTTGATTTGATAGAATATATTATTTATAATTGTCGTTCGTATTTATTTTCTGAATAATTTCGATTTGTTATGAGATAGAAGAAGAGGATCAGCTTCAGCTGGTCTTAATTGTTTGACAAGCATAAAAAATTGAGAAGATGGATTTGAAAGTAATACATCAGGTATATCAAATCTTGAAGATGGGTGCGGATGTCTTTTCTTTATCTTTTAACGATAGTTTCTACCAAAACTTTTTTTTCTATCGATTATATTTAAAAAAGCTCGAATCATTACAAAACAAAAGTTTATTTTAACATATCACTCTTTACTATAAGTAAAATGGTATTTTTCGAAAGTATATCCATACTTTTCCGTTCTGCTACGTCATTATCTCTCATTATTCTCCGTGATGACGATGCATACATATACACTTTTACCTCGTAGATAAGAAAAAGAAATTGCCTTGTCACTATTATCGCGCGAAATAAAACATATATAAATACGTGTATAATGAAAAGCTTTCATTTATACTTATACATAATTAACTAAGAATATAAATGTCTACAAATACTTATAAAAACATCATACTACTGGGCGCTGCTGGTGACACTGGTAAACACATTCTTCCAGCTCTTCTTGCCGATTCAACATTTAACGTGACCATCCTTTCGCGTGCTGATTCAAATGCAACATTTTCATCCAATGTTAAAGTGATCAAAGTTAACTATTCAGATAAAAATGCATTAACTAAAGCTCTTGTTGGTCAAGATGTGCTTATTTCAACTGTTGGTGGCGAAGGGCTCCACAACGATTTTGGTACAACTTTAGTTCAAGCTGCAATCGATGCAGGTGTTAAATGGTTTATTCCATCTGAATTTGGTGCAGATTATGCTGATCCTATTTGTACAACTATCCCACCTTTAGCTGGCAAATTAAAAGTTATAAATCTACTCAAAGAAAATCAATCTCGTATTAGTCATACCTTTATTTCAACTGGGATGTTTCTTAATTGGGGTTTTGACAATGGATTCTTCGGTTTTGACGTTCTCAATCGTACGGTTACACTTTTTGATGACGGAAAAGGACGTGTATCAGGCACAAGTCTCCCAAATATTACCAAAGCTGTCGTCGCCGCTATTCATCACCCAGAAGTATCCTTAAACAAACGAATCTACATAGCAGACGCAACATTTACACAAGAAGAAGTTTTATCTTTCTTCGAAAAATATACAGATACCAAATGGACAGTGAAACATGTCTCCACAAAGGATTTACAAAAACGAGGAGACGAAAAAATAGCAAAAGGAAATATTGGAGAGGCTTTTTACGATTATATAAAATATTTAGTCTACGGTGGTCACAAAGTATGTATTTTTGAAGGCAGAACAAGCAACAAAGATTTAGGAATACCAACAACATCGTTAGATCAAATTGTTAAAGAAGCAGTACAACGAAACAATTAAACCTGCTCAATAATAAACTTCTTTTTTTTTCTTTTTCTGATCGAAAAATTGTTGTAATCATTATTTTATTCAGAAATAAAAACAAATCATTGAAAATCAGTTATTTTATATGACGAGCCTCAAGATATTTATTAATCTTTACGATAGTGTAATATATTTTCCGGATAATTTCGATTTGTTACGTTTTATTATGAGATAAAAGAAGAGGATCATCTTCATTGTTATATTCTGAGAAATCATCATTACAGTTGAGTTTATCCTCTTCCAGTTGTGGATGTATGACGGTAGTTCTAGCAAGTGAACGAAGATATTCAGCTTCGGCTGGTCCTGATTGTTCGACAAGCATAGCAAATTGAGAAGATGGATTTGAAAGTAATACATCAGGTGTATCAAATTCAAGTAGTTCACCATTACCAAGTACCTATGTGAACAAAAATTATGATTAGAGAAGATAGAATATAAATATAATTACTAAAATACGATCACTATCGATCACTGTACGTAGACGATGAGCCACTGTAAGAACTGTACATTCTCGAAATTTATCACGAATTGCTCGTTGAATCAATTCATCTGTTCTATATAATTATTTTATAAGCAATTTGTTTTTAATTAGAAAATCTATACAACTTACGCATTATCTACATTAGCAGTAGCTTCATCAACAACAAGAATTTTACTCTTTTTCAAAATAGCTCGTGCTAAGCATACAAGTTGCTTTTGACCAACACTTAAATTAGAACCACTTTCTGTTACTATCGATTGAAGTCCATTTGGCATATCATCTGCAACGAGTGTCTTTAATTGAACCTAAAGATAATAAAAATATACCCGTTATACAAATAATCTAACATTGGAAATTAATTAAAGAACTTGTTCAAGTGCTTGCCATATTTCAGCATCTGAATATTCACCAAATGGATCAAGATTATTTCTCATAGTACCCGTAAAAAGAACAGGTTCTTGTGGAATAATTGATATTCGACTTCGTATATCATCTAAACCAACAGATGTAATATCAATATTATCAATTTTAATTTGACCATCGACTAAAATGCCCATGCGAAAGAGTATTTGAATAAGAGAACTTTTGCCAGCACCTGTTCTTCCAACAATACCAATTTTTTCAGCACTTTTTATAGTCATCGTAATATTACGAAGGACAAATGGTGCATGTTCATCACTTGAATAAGACATCGAAACATTACTGAATACAATTCGACCTTCAGAAGGCCAGTTTGATGGTGGACGATGATCCGATGAAACTTGAGCTGGTGGTTCTTGTTCAAGAGAACAATATTCAAGTACTCGTTCAACTGCAGTCATTTGTGTTTCGACATCAACGGATAATCTAAATAACTAATATAAAATATATATATTTATACAATAATTTTTACCTAATTGTCCATTGAAGAGTACCCATAAGATTGAGACTGTAGGAAAGAATAAGAGCAATATCAGCAGCTGTAAGATAATTTTGAACGACACGTACAATCATTGCAAAGAATGTAACGAGACCAATAAATGATACGGTGATCCAATCGAATCTTATTGCCGCCCAACGATTAACCGTTGATATCAGAAAATTAACACGCGAACCATTATTAAGATGTGCGAGAAATTCAGCCGAACACATTTGTTCAGCATGATAAGATCGAATAACTTTGAGACCATGAATTGTTGATGTCATATATGAATAGATTGGACTACGTGATATACCTTCGAGACGTTTTAAATCACGTAAACACCTTGCAAAACGATAACGTATAAATATCATTCCACCAACTGCTATTATTGCTGGAATAAATGACCAAGGATTAATCCAACTAACTAGAACCACGGTACCTAATACTTTGAAAATACACTGAAAACAATCTATTAGATAAAATATATAACTGATTTAATTCATTTACTTGAAATAGTTCAAATAGATTAATCGGAAGACTATCATCCATAACTGATACATCTTTCGTGAAACGATATGACATTCGACCTAAAAATAAAAATTTTTATTTCGAAGACAGATAATAGATTTACACATACCAATAGGATTGATATCAAAAAATGAGATAGGAGCTCGTACAAATCGATGAAACATTCTATTCATCAACAATTAAAAAAACTTAAAAAGATAATATTGATAGTTTATACTTATTATGAAGAACACGTCCCGCATTTAAAAATACAAACTCTGTGACAACAACACGTATTAGAGTGACAACAAAAAGAACAAGTACGGAACCTATAAATATGATTTATTTTAGGTCAAATAAAATTTATTAGTATCAAATAAACATACCACAATATATATAGAACCGTCGATATCGATGATTATTCCATTCAGTATTATTCATCAATAGTATTGGATTTATTAAAGTATTTGTACAATTACTGAAAACACGATATCGATGTGTTTCATCTTCAGTCCATTTTCCTAACCAACGATCACTGAAAATAACAATGAGTTCTCGAATTGAGAATATACTAGTCATCAAAATAAGACCAATAAATAGACCAATACCAGCTCGTAAATAAGCAGTATAAACATGCCATTTAATAGCACCTTCTTGTTTGATTTCAACATTAGTTGGTAAGGTTGATGCATCTTTTTTATCGTTACTTTCCGATGTTTTCGATTCAATAATCGATCTTTGATTTTGTAAATCAACTGATTGTTGTTCGTTGAGTTCATGTTGATTAATATCATGAAGTAGATGAGCAAATGAATCAGAAGATGTAATCAATTTTTCATATGTTCCCATATGTACTACTTCACCCTGTTGTAAAAAAAAATAAATGAAAATTTATGAATTATTAATTAAAATATAGACATTATTTAGAACAATAATCATTGTAGCATCTTGTAAAAATTGTATTTGATGTGTTGTTAGAATACAAATTTTCTTTCGTAAATATTTCTTAATCGATCTATAACATAAAAAAAACGAAATTAATTATTTTTATTGTTTTTTGTCATACTTTTCAAAAAGATGTTTGGATACTTTAACATCGACAGCTGATAATGGATCATCCAATAGATAAATATCAGCATCTCGATAAAGTGCTCGTGCCATATTTACTCGAGCTTTTTGACCCTGGATTTACAAAAAACGATAAATTAACTTTCGGTTTTTTTCGTCTATCTCAATAAACAAAATTTACTCCAGATAACATCAAACCTTGATCACCAACAAGAGTTTCAACACCATGCGACCATTGTTCTATATCCTATTTACATATATATCAAATAATTATTTAGATATAACATATATCTTGATTTAACATAACTGTTTGTAATGCAGATGCATGAATAACACGTTGGAATAATATATGATCATAATCTTTACCAAATAGAATATTATTTTTTATACTTGATGAAAATATCCCTAGAATATATTTAAATATAATTTAATTAATTTCAGCTTTTTTTTTCTTCGATTTACAAGATTCTTGAGGAACATAACAGAATGAACCATGTAGACGAATTTTTCCTTCAAAATAAGCGATTTCGCCTGAAAGACTTTGTAATAAAGAACTCTACAAATCAACACAATTTTGTATTTAAAGTTTTATAATAATATATCAATAACAAACTTTGCCAGAACCAACGGGTCCAATAACACAGATCAAATCACCTGGATTTGCATTAAATACAATATTTTTTAACGCGAATGTTCCATCCTAAATAAATATTATATATATATAAATCAAATCTAAAAGTTCAAACCTTTTCCCATAATGCTCGATTTATATTGCATATTATCTGTGGTAATCGATCTTTGCTTATTAATTCGTTTTCTATTGTATCCGATTTTGGTACAAGATTCAAATATGATGTAGATAGTAATCGATTGTCTCGTTCACATTCATCCAGTAATAAAAATGTCTACAATATATATTTATTTCTTTTGAAAATAGATAAGCAGTGGCGTAAATAGGGGGGCGCGTGGAGCGCGGCACTTCCCCCTGCTTCTAGAAAGTTCACTTTTTTGACCACTGAAATATAAAAACTAGGGTTACGGCCCCCTGCCCTCCCATGCTCTGATACCTGACTTATGCCCTTGTAGATAAGAATATAAACTAACCCGAATACGATTTTGAGCAGCCATATAATGAACAAAATTACGGATAGCAATTGTAAATGAATGAATAACATTTGCTCGTATATAAACAAGCATACACATAGATATAGCAAAAAATTTTGTATCAAATCGAATATCTAATGACCACATTGTAGTATACATTAATACAAATGTTACATTGGTATATGTATGTGTAAATAATGTTTGAATACAATCCAGTATCAAACGAAAAGCACATTGAATAATTTCACGTCTGATTAAATAAATGAATAGATTATAGATATTATTATGTCATAAGAAAATATTTACTTTCTTATAAGACGAACTTTTTTACTAAATGCTGATTCCCAACAATACATTTTAATAATACGCATTGATTTAATAATTTCAGACATAATCTTAACTCGTTCATCCGTTACAAGTAAGATTTTCGTTCTTGTGAATAATACGAAAATAAGAATAATTATAATAAAAAAATGAATTTTACCGAAAATGCAAAATAAGTTGACTACAGATTGTTTGAACAATTAAAAGTAATAGAGCATAGCCAAGAGCAACGAATATCATATATTGAACATATTTCCAAAAGAAACAGGTTACTAAGATGATTTCCAATGGGGTTTTCTAAAGAAATAGTATTGATCTTTAAAATCAATATATAATTCCATATATACTTACCCATAAATTATTGATAAAATAGAGTGCCAGTTCAATTTGTCCAGCATCATTTGATAATAAATTCATGATTTTACCTGAACTGATATTATTCATTGAATGAGTTGATAATCGAAGTACCTACATATATATTATTAATTAGTAAAATTCATTGATAACTAAATAATATTATTCATACTTTACGATAGATAAGACCACTATAAGCAATACGCATTTCCAATGCAAGAAGAATAGTTCGATAAATATTCTGTATTAAATAATTATATATTGTATAGAAGAGAAAAAATTTACCTGATGACTAATAAAGGAAGCACAGAAAGCAATGCAAACGATACTGATAGCTAAAGACCATGCTGTCCAGTTAGACATTGTTGAACATGGTTCAAAAAAATTCATTAGAAACGTAAGTATTAATGGTTGGATGATATTTAGTAGTGACTGAAATAAAAATTATAGAGTTTAGCTTATGTTTTAATACTTACGATAGGGATTAAAAGGAGACCTATAAGGAGTGGTGTCCATCCTAATGTACGAACTGTTGCTCGAACTAAACTAGGCTTTTGTGGAGATCGTTTCATTTCATCGAACCAATTTGCTTCGAGCTTGTCAGTAAGTTTTGTTGCATCGAGATAAGAAGGAATATCGTACAGATCAGTAAGATCAAGTGTTCCTTGTTTATGACTTTTTTTTAATAATTCTGTTATCCAGCCATGAAAGAAACGTGACCATTTATTCGCACGTAAAAATGGACTTGGATTAGATGTTTGAGGTTCCATTTAGAAGTAATGCGTTTTTTTTTATGTTTAATAATTGTGATATTTGGTTTGTCATTTACCTCTCGTTTTTTTATCCTTACACGTCAAGACCTTCAAGATATAATGAGAACAGAACCGTCTGTTAAAATGATGAAATAAAAAATCATAAAATTACTTTCTCTTTCGTTCTTTGCAACCTTTAACGTATGATTAGATATATGTTTATATCATAGACACATGATGTAATATTTCATAAATACTTCTGACAAAGGTAATAGATAGTATTTCTTCAAAATTACATTATGATGCAATATTTGATAGAAATTAATCTTAATCTAAATGTTAAACATGTGTCATATTATATTTTCTCATCATCTATGCTGACTACGAAAATATATTAATTGATTTTTATCATTAATTGTAATGTTATATATGTGTGTAATATTTTTAACATTGTTTGTTCTTTTCTCACGTATTGCCCTTATGATTCCTCCCCTTCATTCTCTTTAATGAACGAGTATATAGATGTATACTTTGTATGAAAAAATTGCGGTTTTGGATAAGAATAAACATAATAAAATGTAATATGATCAGCGCTAACACTTCTTCAATCAGAAATCGTCACAGTTTATGAAAGAGGATACCATGGAAATGTTATCTATCTTGAGGGTGGGTGTGGGCGTGGGTGTGGGTGTAGAGAGAGTCTGGATATTTGCTAAAGGAAGAGACACCCACACCCACACCCTTAAGTTAATATAAAATAAATGCTACAAAAAAATCGTTTTTTTCACAAAGATATCCTCTGAAACCGATTGATTGTACCGCATCAAAAATACAAACGCATAAGTTCTAATCTGATTTTACTACAATAATTACTTTGCAAAAATAAACTTCCAGATAGATCACATAAAAAATTAAATGATTTCAGTGACTGTATGATTGATAATTTCTCATTTTTATTAAATTTATATGAGTATAACAGATTTGTTTTATCTTGTTGCATTAATGAATAAACTATCTGTAAATGCAAAATTCTTGTTTTTGATATTTTTCTCTTTAATTTTCTCTTTTTGCGGTAAAAAGACCATGCGTTTTTTTTGTACATGAAATATTTCAGTAGTTGCATTATTATATTCTAATAGAAAAAATTCAGTAAGAAAGAAGCTTGTTGTGGGTTGCCAGCGGTTTACTTTTTGTTTTTGTGTGCAGAACGAAAATGTACACAACTGTTTTACAACCAATAGATTAGTATATAGTATATATTTTCATTTTGCTTTAGTTCAACTGATGATTGATCCTTGTTGTAACGAAAGAATAGAGAGAGGATTGAAATTTTATTTTCTTTCTTTCATATTTTAGATACTGGAATCAACTATACTATAAGATAAGAATGGAAATTAATGATTCTACTAATATAAATCTACTTGAGTCTGAAGATTTAGGTTTGTGATTGAAAAGAAATATTTTTTTATTCTTCTTTATATTTAAATTAGGCAAAATCGACATAAATGAGATAGTACCAAAACCAACTGTTCAGCGATCTGCAAAAGGTTCATTCTTCATTCGATAATGCTCTTCTGCAATGTTTTTCTTCTTCTTAGGACCTGTCTGTATTGATGAATGTTCACCTGATGGTAAATATATCCAACTAGCAAATACTTCTGCAATTAGAGATGTGGATTTAACTGGTTGGCGTCTTTTACGAAGTGTCAACAATGCCCCAGAGATTTCATTCGCCATGCCAAATAACTTTAAATTGAATAACAGAAAAAGTGTTAAAATCTATGCTTGTGATCGAGATAGCGAGAGATTACCTTGTGATCTTGTTTCGTCTAATATTAGTACATGGGGTGTGGGTCATACTATCATTACTCGTCTTCTTAATGATAATGATGAAGAAAAAGCAGTTCACATTCAAATGATTGCTAAATAGATGAATTTATTCTGTTCCCACTATTAATATATATGTTAACTGAATAATAGTAAAGTCTATGATTAGTTATAATTTGTTCTATGTTTTTGAATTTAAATCAACCACACATATCTGTTTAGTATAATCAATAGCATTATATTCAAAGGAAATCTATTCTAAATAAATATTGTGAATTTGTAATTGAAAACACTGTGATCAAAAAAAGAAGTTAATGTTGATTAATTGATAATCTCTTCAGTAGGGAGAGTGTGGGTACTATCCTAGTTATCTTGTCAGAAAATCATAAACACCATGCATTGAATCTCTGCTGATACCATAGTAATAGAAAAACAAAAGAATTATAACATAAAAATTCTTGATGATGTATAAAATTATTTAAGCGAGTTTACAAAACAAGTCCAATAAAGCACGGGAGTGCAGGTAAAGATAACTGGAAATATGCTTGTATGTGAGTAAATGGTTTTATTATCAGACCAGATACACAGTATATCGCTTGTCACATCAAGAAAATATTTATACAAAGTAATAATGTAAAGATGTTTTATTAGATCAATTATTTTTTCCAACTATTACTTCAACTACCCTGATATTATTACATATTTTGTTCTAAGTCTACAACAAACGCAAATGATTGTATCGTTACATCTTTCGTTGGGTGAAGATCAATAAAAACGCTTGTACCTACCGGTATAAGTCGTACATTAGAACTCGATAGAAATTCATATAAAGCTTTCAATTCATGTTTTTCATAGCCTGGATAATTAAATAATTCATCAAATAATAAAATTGTACCCGATACAAAACGACTTCCAAGAAGAAATAAAATATCTCTTGTACCATCATAAATATCACAATCAATATGAACAAATGATACAGGAGTATGACATTGATATTGACGATCGAATAGAAGAAGTTGATCAGGTAAAGTATCAATAAAAAGACCTTTTACTAATATAGTATTATATGGCACTGAAATATTTGTTCCATTAGGTATATTAAATGCTCCATGACCATGTCCATTTCTCCAGTCAGTTGGTAATCCAGTAAATGTATCAAAACCATAAACAGGTTGACTATTATTACCACAAAACATACGTTTCCAATCTGCAATATGCGTTAAACTATTACCACGAAATACACCAAATTCCATCCATAGACCATCACAAGATGGTCTTATCATGTCTTGAAATGGCGGATTACGAAAGATTGTTTCAAGTATACGAGTACCTCCAATTAAACGACGAGACATTATTGCTGCACGAGTATTGTCTATGAATTCAGTAAAATTTGTAAAATTTTTTAATATATATGTTTTTCTCATAGAATCAGTTGTACTTCTATATAGACTTACAGTTGATTCCCTTTCAGTGACTAACTGTCTTAAATAATTACGCTCGTATTTGGTACCATCAGGTAGATAACACATATGTTTAGTGAATGAAGTTGTTGGTATAGAAAAATTGGTTGTAATACTTGTTGGTGGTACTATAAGATATAATACTCCAATATTAATAATCAGTAAAATGAAGAAAGACAATAAAAAGCTTTTATTTATTATACTTTGAATCATTTAAATAATATTTTCATAAAAGTATGCCTGTATGTTGATAAATTTTGAATTCAGATTAATTAATTCGAACTTTATAATATTTCTAAAAAAAAGTATCATTATTTAAGCATGAAGTGTTAATCGGAGGAGGAATGGAAAATATCTCAAAAGCAATAAGAATCTTTTTTTTTCTGTCTGATTTTTTCTTATTAATAGTAACGTGTTCGGCTTCGATGTCTTTTACTTAAACATTGTTTACCTTCTTTTTCTTTTGATCGACTGATTAATGTTATAACTCATAGGATAAAGAAAATAAATGTTTGTCTATCGTTTTCTTAGTTACATCAAAGAACGAAAAAAAAATGAACTGTCGTTCTTTTGCTTTCGATTGAAGTGATTCTATTATAAACTGATTAGAAGACAAAGATATTTAGTTAAGCAATATCTAGACGTTGGTGTAAATGAAACATTTATTAGTAAAAATATCAAACATGAATACATATTTTTATTTTGTCTAGTTTAATCTTGTATGTCATTTGGACGAGGAATTCTTACTGTTGTTCCTCCTATAGTTGTTAGAGGTAGTGGCGCTCGACGAAATATCCTCGTTCGAATGATTTGTATGAATTCTTTCCGAAAAATTTGTGATGATATAATAAAATTAGTAAATGTCAATGAAAATCCAAGATAAATTAAAACATATGTCATATTACTAACAAATGTTTCCGTTGCAAGACGAAATGGTGATTTTATCGTATACAAAGTAATGGTTCGATAAACAAGATAACATGGATTTGGTACATTGAGGATAAGGAAAAGACAAATTTGATTTGCTAACATTTTATGAAATTGTATATCTTTTTTTGTTATTTTTCCACTATTTCCAGTCGCTGGTTCAATTCGTTTTTTAGTCTGATGAATATTACGAACAGTTAATAATCCAAAAATAAACATTAAAACTAGAGGAAGAATTCCACTATCAATTGAAATATAGATACTAAAAAAGATTGAATAAACTCCTGTTTGATATTGACAGGTACCAGTGTTAATATTATAGAAAATAATGACTTGAATATAAATAAGACACCAAAATATAACATTGACAATGATAAAACGAGAAGCAAGTTTTGGTGAACTCCATTGACGACGTAAAGCATCACGTGAACTAGCAAAATAACGATCAATTGTAGCCATAATAATATTATAACGAGGTATAGCTACTAAAATATAAAATAAATAGAAACGTATTTTACAAAACCAAAGATTAGTATTGATGATCTGAATTCCATAGGCATATTGAAGCATTCGAGTGAGACAAGCAAAATTAAAAGTAAATAATTGTGAAAAACTTGATGCAAAAAAATACATAGCACAAGGACTCTTTCGATAAGTTGGTTGAGAAAAGACAATACAGGTTAAAATCGATCCAATATTTCCCATGATTATAATAAGAGCAAAAGCAATTTGTGAAATAATTTTGTTCAGAAAATTAACAAGGTCTATCAATTGAGCTTCGTTATCTACGATACTGATGATAGTACTATTCATTGTTGTATTGACCATTTTATAAAATCTATAGAGAACTAGAAAAAAAATCAAATGGTCATGTATGTCTCGTGACAAATTATAATATATATTTCATGTGTGGGGGGTGTGGATGAGATGACCACAGTAGTTTCGCTCATTTCTGCACCCACATCCTAGAGTTCAGAATGACGACGTGGTACGAAACGTAATTGTCCCTTTCTTTTTGAGTAGAATAAATATATTTGACTCAACAAAATTTTCTTATTATATTATATGTAAAAATAATTTAGTTAATTCAACCATATTTTTACAATTATCATATTTTGAATGACGATTTTCTCGAACTAAAAAGCTTTTATTCTTCTATAGTTCAATGATTTCTTTTTTTATAATGAAAAAAATTAATAATTTTCTCACTTGACGAAACAATTTGAGTTTCTAATTTATCATAATAAAGTCATTTATCTTCATGTATATGAATTATCCTGTTAAAACTAGATCTGACTTTTTCGTTCGATATTCCCTCATATATATGATCATATGGTATTTTTCTTTTTGTAGTCTTAGTGTGTCCTTCTTTTCTGTTCTTCTGACTTTTATTGAAATATGTGACGAACAAAAGGATATCACTTAAGTATTTTTCTTAGAATATATTGTATTACAAGAGGTGGGAATAATCAAAGTAATCATTTCTTGTCCTATAGATACTTGCGTTTTCTTCTACAACTTACCGTGATAAGACTGTGACAATAATGCTCACATTTTCAAAAATATATTCTAAATAAATAAGAAATGAGAGATATATAGTTTTATGTTTTTTTTTATTATTTTAATAAAAAAGCATTAAACGATGCATAAGATTATAGAGATGCGTAGAATAGATAAAAATAAATTCTTTTTCTGTTGAGAAGTAAATGAATCAAAGAATATGTTGACCTATCTATTGAAGATAAATATAGTGTACTTGTCATATAATAATCAGTGAAAAACACATAATTGATTTAATCAATTTATGTATCTGAACAACATACAGAAAATGAAAGAAATACTAAAAATTGTACAAATAATTTAGTTATTCGTGAAGGCAACCCTGTACGATATAACTCTAGTCATCATTTGAACTTATCGTTATATCCTTCCCTTATTTGAACCTTTAAGTATTATCAAAATTTTTAAATGATATTCTTTGTATGATTGATTATAGATGTCAATAGAAGAACATCGCTTCTATTTATCTCATTAAATGTTAGGTTAATTGTTCGAATGTATTTGTTGCTAATCTTATGTTACAACAGTTGGTGAGAATCCACTGTACTTATGCCAAGTGACGCCTAAATCTATATAATAAGAAAATAAAATTTATAATTTAACATTTTTTCAATAGAAAAAAGCGTAATAGTTTTCATTCTTTTTTTGTAGTACAATTTTATATACTTCAGTTTATGTTTTCTTTCAATTCTCTGTTGTTTCACTCACATATTCATTTTCATTGTACACGTTGCTACTGTTTATGTTATTCTATTCTATAAATATATGAAAAAAAATGCATCATGAAATCTTTGTAATTTTTTTGATTTCGTCAACTATTAACAAATAAAAATCGTCTCTGAATAGCATGTACAAAATATTTCAAATAGAAGAATACGAAACGCAGTTTAATCAACATTAGAATGACATCATCCGATACAAATTTCTGAAAAGTAGTTACCGGTAAGTAGTTACTACAAAATTTAGACTATATAACACGGTCGACACATTTAAAACTAAACTATCTAAGTAAATTTTAATATCTATATGCATTTTTTCTCTAGATTTGTATTTATCTGATTTATTTCTATTCAATAGTTCGTTAGGAACAATAGCTGTCATATCGAAAAATAACGACCATGAATTGATATCTTTGTACTTGAAAGTTAATTTATTTCTTTTTTTTTTTTTGAGTACATCTTCATTTTTCAATTATAAATTTCCTATCTAATATTTTTATCAACTGCAATGACGAATTTTCATTCTGTTCTTTTTCGCTTTCCAAAGGAAGCATTTTCTAGTATGGGCATACAATGTACTATTTTCTTTTGCTTTGAAATCAAATAAACAAAACGAGCAAGGACACCGATAGGTTTTTTTTATCTTTTGTCAAGGTATTTAAAAATAAGAGAAACAATGCGAACGGAAGAAAGAAAGAAAAAAAGAAAATGTTGTGTGTCTCAATTGAATCAATTTTATTAGAGAGACATTTTTTAAAAGAATTTCGTTGTACTGAAATTCATGTCAATTTAAACAGATTGAATGCACTTTCGTTGAATGAATCACGTAATAGTTTCAATATTAGTCAACTTCTTTTTCTCTGAATAACATCACGAAGTAAAAGCGAATTTAATGAAAGGAAAAGAAACAAAAAAAACCGCTTGTTACTGTCTATATTCCAAACAATGTTTTTCAATCTCTCACATTAAAAACAAAGTAAAGTTTGTTTTATATTATATAGAGTAAAATGTATAACACGATATTTTTCAAAGGTGCAATAAAGACTAGTCAGAATATTCGAGAAATTTTTTAAGAGGATGATTGTATTTCATTTAATTAATAAGCATAGGAAATTTTTCATTATAATAAAACTAAGAAGGGTTTCGATTACGTGAATGAAAACGTACGATTCATTATTTGTGTAGATTAATAAATCATTTTAATGTCAATCGATACATCATGCAGGTTCTAAAAATTAAATCAATTTCAAATTTAGTTTTTTTTTATCGATCATTATCATCAGTAATGACATTAATATCATAAAAAATATATTACACATTTTTTCATTATAGAACCAATGAGATATCTCCTGTTCTAGACATTTTTATTGATTAGATACTGATGATATCAGTATGCATTAATTAAATAATATTCTTACATTATTTAATTTAGATTATACTTATTTGATCTATTATGGCACATATATTCATCAAGAAAAAAGCTTTGATTTTATCTCTCATATTTATTTTCACGGTACTTTCTCTTACAAGTTTTATCATATATATTCATATACAGTAAGTATATTATTTTGAATCTTTTGTCTGACTGAAATGCGGTCTTTTTTAAATATGTTAATTATTCTAAGTTAATGTAATATATTTATTTTTAGTTCTGGACATTCAAAAGTAAAAATAAGAAGAAATGTTGTCTTTAAATTATCTACTAAAGTTAAATCTGATAGACCAGTAAAATTATTAACAAAAAAGAATTGTAAACCACAACAGAATATTTTATTCCTAAAAACACATAAAACAGGTTCTTCAACTGTTCAAAATATTTTTCTTCGTTATGGAGATAACAACAATCTTACACTTGTAATACCAGAAAAAAGCAATTATTTTGGTTATCCAAAGCATTTCAATCGTCGAATGTTACATTCAAAATATCGTCAGAACTCCAGTAAAATACAAAATAATATTTTTGCACATCATGCAAGATATCATTATAAAGAAATGAAATCAATTATGCCTCGTAATACTATTTTTATAACTATTCTTCGAGATCCTGTTGTTTTAATTGAATCACTTTTCTCATATTATAATCTTAAAAAGACATATAATGAAACTTCATCAATTGGTTTTTTAAAGAATGCATTTTCAACTTCATTAAATATATCTGCTTATCATGCCACATCTAGTCAAAGATTCTTAGGAAGATTTGGACGCAATCAAATGTCATTCGATCTTGGTTTTAGTGTAGAAAATTTTGATAATTTAAAAATGATTCGAGAATTTATTGAAGCTATTGATTCACAATTTCATTTCGTTATGATTGCTGATCGTATGGATGAATCATTAATTCTTCTTCAACATACTTTATGTTGGAAAATGGAAGATGTAATTGTCTTTCGACATAATGCTAGACGTACGAGTGAATTTACTAGTTTACCCAAAGATTTACAAGAGAATATACGTATTTTTAGCATTGCTGATGTTCTTTTATACAATTATTTTTCGGACAAGTTAAATCGTCTAATAGAAAAATTTGGTAAAAGAAGAATGAAAATGGAAATAGCTGCTTTACAAAATGCAACAAAATCAATTTATCGCCAGTGCGTTCATAAAGAACCTTTCAAAGATATGATTGTATATTACAATAAAAATCAAACTATAGACAAAAAATGTCAAGATTTTGTTATTTCAGAATTATCTTACACTGATTTATTAAGAGAAGAACAAAACAAACGATATCGTTTTATTTAAAATTCATTTTATTAAGCCTTAAGATTAAGGTTAGAAATAAATGGCAAGTCATATATAATTAAATGTGTGATCTCTAATAATATACAAAAAGTAAAGCAAGATAAACTTATTCTGTAATCAAATTTATCAAGAAGTAATATAGTGGAATCCAAAATGTTGTGCACGAGATATACATAAACGACAATAATAGTAAAATAGATAGCTTGATAGTCAACATAATAAAGTCAAATAGAGAAAAAACGTGCAGTGAAACGATAAATATATAAATATAATAAGAATTTTATATATGAAAACATAAAAAATACAATAAAATAAAATTTTCGACTTTGTCAAGTTATCTATTTTATTATTATTGACGTATTTATATGCAGTTATTCAAAACTTGAGTCTTATTATATGTATGTTATCAGTAGTATTAATGTTATTGGTAGTGTTGTGTTAGTATGATGATTATGATTAGCATTGTTATTTGATTTATTATTTGATGGTGTTTTGATGTATGTTTACTGATGATGACCGCTGTAACCATTCTTGACAAGATCGAAAATTCTATTGTTATTGTATTTTTCATGTTTTTATATATAAAATTCTTATTATATTTATATATTTATTGTTTCACTGTACTTTTCTCTCTATACATAAATGAATAATTATACTATCCGCTCAATTATAAATCGTAATTAATGCCTCCATCAAACATATGATTATATTACTAGTCATACAATTGTTTTTTTCATGCTTGGCTAATAATTTTGTTGTTATACTTATATTCTTGATAATAAAATATATATTTTATTGTTTCTGTTGTATCTTTATTCTTTGCCAAGTTATATAATAGAAATGTCTGCGGTAGCGCGGCAGCCGCTGAGTTTTTGGAAAGTTTTTTTCTTTATTTTTATCGAAAAAATGTATAATGTTTGAGATTATGGTTTTATGATGATTCAGATTAAAAGGAGTTTCCTTCTCTCAGCACATTGATATGACTATTGCGCATCGTCCAAACAATAGAAAAAGAAGTTTTATAGACTATATTATCCATACCACTACAGCACCAATTTTTAAAAATGTCCGCATCGGAGTAGTGACTGATTTCTATTCGAGATTAATATTTAATGAAGAATTTGATGATGTATATTTTTGAATGTATTCAAGTTTTTTGTAATTTATCTGCACCTGAACAGTTCTACCATGAAAAAAGAAAAAAGTGAAATTTATATAACTCATAGAAATTCAAGAAAGCTAGAAACAAAAGAAATATGAATTATAACTGTTGTCACTAATAAAAATATTATCTGTCTCAAAAAAATAGCTGTTGTTGATTACCATTCACTGAGTAAATTTCTTATATGATAGTGAATACATGATAAAAAAACCGATAGGTTACGAAACTATCTTTCATATATCTAATACATTTAGAACATAAAATTAAGAATCTAATGTATCACTCCATTTTTAAGAAAGATATTTTAAATTAGATCTACTCGAAATACAGAATTAATATTTCTGTTTTTATTAGGGATAAATAAAAAAAATTACTTTATAATTGACTAAATTTGATGTAATTTAATCAGAAATTTTTTTTCTTCTTTGTCATGTATAGATGACACATACATCAGCAGTCATCCTATTCTGAACGAAGACATTATATAATAAAACTTCTAGCGATTATTTTTCATGAAAATAACTGTAGATAATTTCAAATGCATTTAAATATAAATGTGACGATTTGTGATAGAAGAAGTGTTAGTTCCGATAGTACTACACTTTATTATGTCTCTTCTTAAGAGAAATAAATCGTTTCGTTTTCATACAAATCATGCGTTTATATCTTCATTCATCATAGATAATGAAGGAATATGAAAGGAAATATTATTAAGTACAAGGTATGATTTAATGACAAAAAAA